TTTAATAATTAAGCTTTATTTTAACATATTTTATCAAGATAAAAGATAAATTAATTAAGTTAAAAAAATTTACTCGAAGACACGGTGTGAAGCAAGCACTGGGTAGGCTTCCATTCAATTATTAAACGGGTCCCTTGGGTTCCGTTTTCAGGGATATGTTTCAGATAATACTAAAGGTTCAAATTTGAATCTATCATTTTTTGCACATATGCGTTTTCTTTTTCTTTTTCTTTTTTTCTTTTTTTTCTTTTTTTTCCTTTTTTTTTTTTATGTGGAAACATATGCATTTTCTCTTGTTGGATTACTTTCATCGTCTTATTATTATTATTACTTTCTTCATCTTATCCAAACAAACGCTAATTAATTTTCAGTTTAATAGTTATCCATAACAAAAAAATAGAGAAATAATTTTTGTATAATTTTTTTATCTCACATTTTATACAACTTAATGTGTCATTTAAATAATTAATCTTTTTAATTTGTGTGAGATTTATGATATTAAATGCATCTAATCATTTAATAATATGTAAAAATTATATAAAAAATAATATAAAAAAATTATCCCTATAATACTACTAAAAAAAAATGTGCAGCCAATTACAACTATCCTTTTTGCAGTGTTCCTTTAATTTTTACTCTCTGTCAGTGACGTGTATTATTCATTAAATATAAATAAAAGTTTTTTTAATATGTGTTTTTAAAATATAAATTAAAAACATATTTATTGTATTTATTTATTATTAATTTATATAAAAAAATCATAAAAATAAATTTTATTTTCAATACTAATAGCACTTGAAAAATTAGTTAGATGATTAATAAAATATAAGTAGATTTTTATCTTTTTATGTAAATTAATGATGAAAAGCCACAATAATAGAAACGTGGCAAAACTCTATGTTAAGCCTTTAAATTTAGCTTAAATTATTAATTAAGTTTTTAAACTTTTATTAAAGAAAATAACTTTTTAAATTTGTGATATGAGCAATTCAATAATTTTATATGACAAATTTAATACTTATTTGTATCTAATTTATGTGAACAAAATTAATACTTACCACATAAGTAATGACATATCGATATTTTATTTATATCAAGCAATACACAAACAGGTGTAAAGTCTATGGTAAAAAAGATGAGTTAAATTAATTAGATTGATCAATTTGAAGAATCTATTTACTTTCATAAAAATTTAGGAGTTTAATTGAGAATTTAGAATCATTTAGGGGCTTAACACAGGTTTGCCTAGAAAATTCCTATAAATAAACTTATTTACTTTTCAGACTCACCAAGCACTGACCAGTGAATCCGAAACGATTAAGGTATTTTTTAGGAGATTATTACATTTGTAAAATGTTTTAATCAAGAACGTGTGCAATTCGATCCTTCTATCTGGGATTATTTGGGTTTTTGATATTTGTACAATGCTTAAATATTGCGGATTGTCTAATGGCTATATGTTTGGATGATGCATTGTCTATGTATGGTGAATTTCTTTGCAATGAAAACATCAATGGTTTGATTTTTATTAATGCTGCTAATTTCCCCAATGGGAGGTGTACATAGCATCTTAGAAACTGATTCCAGGGAGTTCTTAAAACAAACAATACTTTTCAATGATCTAAGCTAACTGTTCTTTTTATTCGGTGCAGCTCTGGTGGGAGATGCCTATCTGTTGAATACACAGACAAAGTTGGCGAGTTAGCTAAGAAACATGGTCTGAAGCTTCACATTGATGGTGCTCGAATTTTCAATGCAGCTACCGTGAGTAAAAAGTTTTCTTTTCCATTCTATTCTAGTTACTGCATCTAATTGTATGTTATGTTACCCAGCCATCACTACGAAGTTTCACATAAGGAAATAATTCTCTTAGCTCAGTTTTCGTGGCTAAGTTTTGAGTCTTCTTGCAAGAGTTACGGAGTTGTATCTGGCATAGGATACAGTTGTTTAAATTTATTAATCGCTAGTTCTGAATTTTATATTTTTGTTATGTAGCAGTTATTAAGTGAGTTTGTATAAAATGTCCCTATAATTATAAAGTTTCATATATTTAAAACCATTGTTTCAGTCATCTCAAACTTGGTTCTTCAACTAATTTTCTTCTGTCTTTCCATCTTGATTTGAGATCCTCAAAGCCTTCAAGCTTGCGACTTGTCAATCAAATTCTTCTTCTATATCTATTTATTTGATTTGCCTGCATGTCTCGTGTGTTTAAATCATTTGTATGCGAATAAACTACAAAGTAAAAAGTATCTGATGGAACATGGTTGATCTCCCAGGCACTTGGAGTGGATGTTAAATTGCTTGTGCAAGCTGCTGATTCAGTATTGGTATGGTCTTTGTATCTTTATTTTTTTGTTCTTGTTAGCTGCCTAATTTTTATTTCATTTTTCATAAATTCATGAACAGTTGATTAGGGTAATTTATTCCCGTATCATACATAATTTTAGAGAGCTTTCTTTATGCTTCTCTTAATCTTGTAAACAGGTCTGTCTATCAAAAGGTTTAGGTGCTCCAGTTGGATCTGTAATTGTTGGTTCCGAAGGTTTTATTACAAAGGTAAAATGAATAAAAATTTTGCAGCTAGGAAAAGCTGCAGCCCTATTATTCTCTTGTTGATGTTTACAGTCTGACTGCATTTTCTTGCATTCCTAGGCTAGAAGGGTCAGGAAAGCCTTAGGTGGTGGGATGAGACAGATCGGTATCCTTTGTGCTGCTGGGTTGGTTGCTTTGCAAGAGAATGTTGGAAAGCTTAAGGAGGATCATAAGAAAACTAAGGTTTTGGCAGGTAAATAATAACTACAAGTAATTCACTTGATTTCGGGCTCGTTTGGTGTGGTTAGAGCCTTTAATAGAAGTTATGTTGGAAAGAAATTGTTATAGAAGTGTTGTTTTTGTAAATAAAAAAAAAATAAGAATAAAATAAAAATAATGTATTAATTTCATTGAAACTCAAACAAGAAGTCCATGCAGAAGCACCAATTCGGTACTTTTGAGATTTGCAATGAAATAAACAAAATACTAACTTGTGAGAAGTTATAACATTTTTCATAAATCGTAATGCTTGGTGCAGCTGAAGCTTTTGGAGTCCAAAAAAACTTTCCACCAGCTGTTCCAAACATAGCCTTCATATGCCAAGCATTCTAGTTTAAAGAACAATATTGCTTTGTTTCTTTGCCCCGCATTGTTGACGACTCTTACTTCGGAAATTCTTGGGATTTTCGCTGGCTACATTTATCTGCAGGGGAACTAAATCAAATTAATGGGCTGAGAGTGAATATCGCTTCAGTGGAAACAAATATTGTGAGTAACATAGTTACTACTAAAGCTTACAGTCATGACCGTTTTTCTTTTCTCTGCATTCTATGGGACAAGGTTTGTATTACAAGTGATTTGATTCAATGGAGAGAAAGGGAGTAGAAAAAATGGTTTGCCTGCTCGTTTTGACTTGGATTTTACTATGTTTTCCACGACAGAACAGAAACACACAGCACAATATACACTAGATGAAGTTTTATTTTAAATATTGCAGAGGATTATTTGCATTTGGGTTTGACTTTTGAAAGGATTGAATGGTTTCCACACCAAAGGATTTCAATTATGATTATAATTAATTGATAAATATATTTCAATATCTCAACTTCTTTTGAGGAATAATAGTTCAACTTTCAATGTTATGTTTGACTCCTTTTAATAATTATTTATACATTACTAGATATTCATTGACATGGTGGAGGGCTCAAAAATCACCGGAGAGAAACTATTCAAAATCTTGAAGAAGCATGGTGTCCTTGTGATGCTAGTGACATCATCCAGGTCAGTTTGAGCTTCACACATTATCCTGAACTCCTTGAATTTCCCTTTTTTTTTGTTTGTTTTATTGAAAAAAAAAAAGAAAAAAAAATGGAGATGAAGATTTATCAGCCTTTAGCCTATGTTTAGATAAAAGTTAGTAAAGGAAAGGAGGGGGAGAAGAGCAGAAGAAAAGGGAGAAGAAGTGAAGGGGAAGAATAGATTGATATTAGTTTTGTTTAGATAAATAAAAGTGAAGAAGGAAGAAGGATAATATTTTTATTTAATTAAATAATTTAATAAAAAACAAAATAAAGAAAAATAAAATTTTAAAAATTTACTAATTAAATAAGTAGTTGAAATAAAATGTTTATATATTTATTTTAAAAAAATTAAAAACAAAAAAAAATTAAGTAATGTAATCTATTCTAATCCCTCCAAATTGAAAGGATTGAAAACAGAGGAGGGGAGGAAACTCCATCTCCCTCCCCTCCATCTCCCTCCCCTCTATTAAAATTATTTATCCTAATTTTATCCAAACAAGAGAAAGTACTCTTCCCCTCACTCTCCTCTCTTTCCCCTCCAACTTCCTCAACCAAAACAGAGTGTTACGCCTTGTTTGGATAGAAAATAGTGAAGGGAAGGGAAGGGAGGGGAATGGAGGAAAATAAAAGGAAATGGAGGGGGAGGAAAAGAAAGGGAAGGGAAGAAAATAGAAGGAAATGATTTGTGTTAATTTTGTTTGGATAAATAAAAATGAGGAAGGGGAAGAGAAGGGAAGGGAAGAATTGTATTATTTTATATTTGGATAATTAAGGTAAAAAGAAGGAAAGGAAGGGAAGGATTTAAATTAATTTTAAATTTACAAATTTACCCTTTAAACTTGTAATGGAGAAGGATATAATAAAAAAATTAAGGTTAATTTTGTAATTATATTTAGCTTAATGTAAACAGCCACTCAAATCCCTCCCAAACCCCTCAAATCGGGCGGATTACAAATCTGCAGATTCGAAGGGGGTAGAAGGGAGTCCGAATCAGTTCATCTCCCTCCCCCTCTGCCTCTTTGGAAACCCAAACAGAAAGAAGGAGACGGCTCCCCCTCACTCCCCCTCCCTTGCCATCCGTCCCCATCCCTTCTCCTCCCTCTCCGTCCGGCACCTCCAATCCAAACAATACCTTAATGTTTTTGTATGATTCAACATTACCTTGTAGAAGATTAGAAGCCCAGTATGCTAGTGCTAGAGGACTGTTAACAATTGTAAATGGAATCCAGAGTGAGGTTTTAGGCAATGGCAGCTACTGTTCTGTGGGAAAAAACTTTTAGTTCTTTTTGGCATCGCCAGAGTTATGCAAGGCTGAGGTTTTTTCCCGCTGAGTTGATTCAGATCATGAATGCTTGAGTCAAAGATGCATTTAAGTCTATTGATGCTTTACATTTCAAAGACGTTAGCTCCAAACTTGTTATAGAATATAAGAAAGAGAGCCCAACCTATTAGTCAATTCCATTTTCATTTCTTATACTGCTGTTCTTTCATTCTAGAAATTTGTCATCTATTATGCTCTGTTGGGCATAATCTCGAATGATTAGAGAATCTATAGAAAGAAAAAGAAAAGAGCCTCTCTTCCTTACAAAGTAAATGATGGTTCCTTGATAGCAACTGCAGATTGTCTGAGAGCAATCCTGTGATCTCTTCTTTTCCTGTGTTTTGGTCCTTGGAGAAAACTACATGCACTCAAAGTTTGGACTCTGGTTGTTTTTAGAAATTGTTTCAGTACCAAATTTTCCTCGTATTTCTCATTTCACTGCTTTTCTTTGGAATTTGCTCACATTAATCTAAGGACCCTGAAAGGAAATGCAACTTATATGATTTTAATTACATGATTAATAAATTAAAAGTCAACTTTAAAATTTTCAAATGCAAATTAATTTCTAAAGGCATAGTAACTACACCTAAAGGTACAAATTAAAAAAATCCTTCTTTTAAAGATATTTGCTCCTTATCATTATTGGTTTAATTTGCTATATGGAATAATGTGGACAGTATTTCAAACTAACGAAGCTACCTGTGTTTTGCCAGAATTAGAATTATCATGCACAACCAGATTTCAGATGATGACGTCAAGCGCACAGTGTCATGCTTTCAGGTGATCCATCTCAGACTTTTTTATCTCTTTCATCAGCAGCGAAATTCTTTTATGAAGTTTATACTGACTTGTTATGGTTTACTAATCATTGCAGCAAGCTTTCGCTGGAGTACTGGATGAACATGACAACTAGCGGATGGAACTGATAGAAAGTACCGAAAAGTGAAAACTATGGAGAACTAAGTGTTTATCCTATTTGCAGTTTTCAAATATAACAATAAAGTACCATAGTCTGCTTCTTGTGACCATGAATAACCTTTTCTAAGAAACCCCACCAAGAAAACTCATAAACCACATGTTTTTATTTCTTTGCATCTTCTAATTAAAAAACCATAGAAGTATGGAATCCTTTTGTTTTTTCCTTTTATGGTATATCAGATATAAGCTATATAAGCTATATAACAAAGGTTAGTCCTCTTCTTCTCAAACTTCCCTCCTAATGTAGACGCTGATATCCCCTTTTTTTTTTCTCTTTTCGTAATAGAGCAAATGTTTTGGGACTATGGGAGGAAGGTGGGGACGCAGAGGACAGATTTGAACTGTCGCCATAAGAGTGTGAAAGCCTTTTATACTAGTGACAAAGCCACTTTAACTACTAAGGCTACATAGAGGCTGAAGTTCTTAATGTTACATCCCAAACCCAAAAGACCAAGTTTGAGCTATTACCTTAAAAACCAAATTTCATTTTGTTAGTCACATATATATACCTATCCTTGACGAAACATCACTTAAGTCCATTTTTGAAAACATTTGAACCAGTGTAGAAGAAGCTATGTTTAAAACTTCTGCAAAAGACTTGCTAGGAATAAGTTTCAGGACAACTTACAGGTAGACAAACAGTAAAAAACTCAAGTTCAGGCTATACAAAACAAAGATTTCTTCTAGGAATAAATAGCTATAATTTTTTTATAGATTCCCATGAATGGATTTATGGAAAATCTTGAGCCATAGTAAAGTTTTGGGCAAATACAAGTTTACTTTACAAGCTTGAAGAATCTTGTTCAACTCAACATCCTTATGCAGCTCTTGGGACTTCTAAGGCCTTTTATACTTCTTAAGCTAACCTGAATCAGGGTAAACAATACACCATGATCTGTAAAGCCCAATAAGCATGAGTTAAGAGCCATAATTGAATTCTTAGTTAAATTAACAGCAAATAAGCAATTGACTTATAAGTAAGCTTATAACCAGAACATAATCATCAAATAACATACTAGACAAGCTTAGCCTAGGCATAAACTTACTAAGGTCATATGACACTAATTCCATCAAGGCTGTTTGGTTTCTTAGAACGCTTGAATCATGTTTATCCTTTTTGAATCACTGACCCTTAAAACATTTAAACTAGCAAGATAACCTTATGCATGTCTAAATGTTCAAGTGAATGCAGTTCTATCTATGAATTTTTTTCTGTGGGTGTACATCCCACCATACCAATGGTCTAACCAATGGTTCTTCCTACCGCACAGAGTTCTAGATATCTTTCTTTCCATACTCCAGGTTCTTTAGGAGTTCTTACCTAGCTTACCAGCTAAGGTATAATTTTTAGATATCTTTCTTTCTGACTCTAGATATTTTAGGAGCATCATTCTTTACTCTAGGTAAACTTTAGGAGCATCTTACCTAGCCTTTAGCTTAGGTATCATACCATAGATTCTCATGCAGCATGTACAATGATTCATCTTTATGCACATAGCATATCTCTCATTCTTAGCTCATATAAAAATATATGTAAGTCAGATGAATATGGTATAACAAACATGGTTTCCCTCTTTCTTAAGCACAGCTTAGAGAATCACAAAACTAAAGGCAGTGCTTGACAGATCATCATATAATCACCTCGATACTCAATAAGTCATATTATTCTAAAAGCAGGCATTTAATCACTCGGTCTAGACGCTAAGCATAGCTCAGTGTTTCCAATATCATTAGGCAAACATGTCAATTTAGAACTCAAACTTTAAAGTCATGCATGCATGTTCAATTTCACCTACGAAACTCAGAAATCAATAACATTAATTCACTTTAATCACAATTCCCAGTTAATTTCCAGATTTCAAGCACAAAGCTCATTTCGTATGTTACCAGGTATTAAACATGTTTGACACTAGAGACAAGTCAGACAACTATTACCAGTTGATAACTTCCTTTGCATGTCATAAATTCATGTTCTTAATGCTCAGTTCTATTATTGGATCTTTCTATTCAACTAATCTAAGTCTAGTTTATTTTAAATAAACCAATTTACCATCTTAATCACCAATTATAGCTATAAAAGCAATGACCCATACTTACCATGCAAGCCCATTGCTTTCTCAGCATAATTTTTCTCGGATTTTTCCCATTTCTTCACTGTTGATCAGCAGCTGCTTTTGCCATATCCCTTCTCTTTCTCGGCTCACACACATGCATCATCCACTTTTGCTGCCTCGCAAAATACCCATCTTTCCTTTCCTTCTATTGACAGAATTGGGGAAGGAAATGAGAATTGTTGTTGCTGCAGAGTTCTCTCGGCAGAAGAGATGATATTAAGTTGGAATGTGGCGATGGCATGAAAAATGGATTTTTAATTCAACCAAAACCATGGGCTGCTTTTGTTGGTGGAATCTGCCAATGCCCCCCATTAATCAATCGAGTAGAAGAGAAAGAGGAAAATTAAAAGGAAACTAATGACAAAATTTAGCATAAGTAATATAAATTTACTTAATAAGTACATATAAAAAATCTTAAAGAACCTTATAATTAACACTTTTTTAGATAATACCTTTCAATCAAACCAAAACCAATATTAGATTTCGAACTAAAAATTGAAAACCCACCATACAAAGCCACCAAAAATATCAAACTACCACCAAATTTTAATCAATTTTGTTTTTACGAAAGAATAAGAAGCAACTAATGAAACTTAAACCAATATTACCTTAGATGGTAAGCAAAAGATGCAGAATAAACAAATCGCCTAATGCAAGACCAACAAATAATAAAAAAAGATGCTACAAAGTCCTTACAAAGAGAATCTCTGCATAAGAAAATAAAATAAAAGTAATAAAAATAGAATAACCATACTGTATTTTATTAGTTGGTCAGGTGGGAGAGCGAAAAAACAAAACCTTTTAGTTTTTTTTGGTATCGCTCATATAAAAATTGATTAAATTAATT